CTTTCAATGGACTCGTTTTAAGTGGAAATTCTTTCAATGATTCCTTTGCTTTGAAAAATCAAAATCACACCGAATTTCCTGTGTATAAGTTAGACCTGTTTTGGACAAACAACTGGCCGTTTCTGTTACCAAACAATCGCCAACTCGTCTGCTATTGTCCACAATAGACGCCATTAATTGCGATGACAACTCATTTGATGACAATATATACTTTGAGAAAGTTTTATGACATTATTTTATTTCCTTTTCATTTTATAATAATTCAATTATAACATAATTATTATTACTTCAAAAAATGAATTTATTTACTCTTTATTTGGGATTAAATGAAAAGAAATTTAATTAAAAATTAAGAAATGTAAACGTAAAGAAATTTTAATGGTTTAAGATATGGTATTGAAGCCAAAGATAATGTCTTTAATGTCTTCTCTTTTTATGTCTGGAATCATGAGACAAGTCATCGCTATCTCTAGTCTCAGACCTCTTGGGCTCCCTTTTGTGTTTTCGATGCTTAGACTCATCCGAATCATCGCTTTTATGGCTTTTCTTTTTCGACGAATGCCTTCTTTGGTCTCTATCTCTGTGCGAATCCTTTTCCGAATCACTCTTTCGGCTCTTTTTATGACTTTTATGTTTCTTATGCTTTAATTTTGAATCGCTATTCGAAGCGACGCTTAATTTGTTTAACTTTTTTAATAACTTCTTCTTCTGTTTGTACGAAAGAGTCTTCAGAAAAGTGGTTTCGGGGTCTTCTTCCTGAGCGATCATCACTTGATTCAGTTCATTGGGGTCGAAGTGTTGGCCAACAATACTCTTCTTGAGCGCGAGTCCGTCCTCTTGCATGGCTCGCATGAGTTCGTCCGGCGCCACCTTATCTGCAGTCATCAGAAATGAAAAGTTAGTTATTTGTGGACCAAATCAATAGTTCATCGCATACTGGGGCCGTCCATCAGAGAGCTTCCCTGGTTATAGAGCGGACACTCGCGGTCTGTGTTCAGATGACCCCATTTGTGGCATTTAATGCACCGCACGTTTCGCACCTGAATGCCAAACGGTTGGTCTCTGATATCCATATTATTTTTGGCAAAACTATTAAACAATAAAAACAAAGATTAGATAAAAAGCACACAAAGAGGACATTGGAGTTGAGGGGAAGGAGTGGTTGGAAGGGGTGGTTGAATACCTTTCTCGCGGGGCGTTCCTCTGCCACTCGAACTTATACTCGGGTTCGTCGTCCTCTTTGGTCCTCTCCCTCTGCACCCCTTTGGGCGCCTCATACATGAAGTTGAGGGACAACTTGTCTTTGCTCTCTGTGCTCACCAAAAGCCTATCACATCATATGGACAACAATTAGTGGT